TTCGGTCGACGCTGCATCTTTGTCAGCTCCCGCTTCGAGCAACAACCACACAATTTCCAAGTGGCCGTTCTGGGCGGCAATAAACAAAGCCGTCGCCCCTTCTGTCCTTGCTGCATCTTTGTCAGCTCCAGCCTCGAGCAACAATCGGACAACTTCCAAGTGGCCGCTATGTGCGGCAATAAACAAAGCCGTTGTCCCTTCTGTCCTTGCTGCATCTTTGTCAGCTCCAGCCTCGAGCATCAATCGCACAACTTCCAAGTGGCCATTCTTGGCGGCAATAAACAAAGCGGTTGCCCCATCTGTCCTTACTGCATCTTTGTCGGCTCCAGCCTCAAGCAACAATCGGACAACCTCCAAGTGGCCTCTGTTAGCCGCAATATGAATGGGCGTAGCATTGAAAGCACCACCTCTCCAGTTGGGATCATACGGTTTCTGAAGCAAGCTTTCAACTGCCCGCACATTATTCTCCCGACAGCCTCGATCTAGCTCATCCCACTTAGTCTCGTCTGGAGCACAAAAGTCCAGGATTACCAGCTGCACACTTGAAACTGGTATTAGCGGCATGCTGTCATGCAATTCGCCGATTGTATCACTCAAGAGCCTTTGTCGAAATCTTGAGTGTCCAACCTTAGTTGAAAGGAGCTGCTTTAGGTGCAAAAAGGACTTTCCAGTTTCAACCATGTCAAGCAACTCATCTTCATCCACCTGAGCAACTGTTCTGCCAGACACGGCCCTAATCTCCATCATTGAGGCGCAATGAAAAGGGTACTAGCAGACGAACCACGGCTGAAAGATCTGTTGCGTAAATGAGTAGGAGTCGGAGTACAGTGGAATAAACTGTGTGCATGAAATTTGGTGAGTGGAATACCATGTCCATAGTGATAATTGCAATTTCTCATGTTTGAGCAAACAGTCACGATGAAGATTGAGTAGTTTTCCTCTGTGCGGTGTTTTCTTCCATGTCCCATGTCGCAATCCAAACCGTAACCAATGTACCCATCCCTTGTCCAAAAAGACTGTTGTCGGTCAAGTATGTTGGTCGGAAAAAGGCTATGAACATGGGCTGGTTCTTTGCAGGAAAAGGTAGTGGACCTGGATTGTTTGGTGATGTGTATTTATGAAACATCACATATCTGGAAACACGTCTCCCTAGAGCTCCAACCATATCCTCAGAAGGTGGTTAGACCCCCCAAACCCACCCCAACCATCTTCTCAGGAGGTGTTTGGAGGTTTAGGGTCCGATGGAAGGAGCAGGATGGATGGAAAGACCGATGCGTTTCTGAATTTTCCGTTTGGGTGTAGTTTCTGGATGTGCAACGCGTTGCACCCCGGCTCAGCCCTGCGTTGGTTCGTCCACCCTGTTCTCCGTGTTCGGTGGAGGACGGCAGTGGATCCCCTAGGGCTTGCAAAGCTGCTGCCATGATCGGTGCATGTTCGTTTCATCCCAAAGCGGTGGGAAAATAGACTATGGATGACAGTAAATAAAGCGAACTGTCCCACCGCTTGGTGTTGAGTGGGGCAATACACATGGTGTGCCCACTTCTGTCCCCAAAATAGGTGACCTGCAGGTGACATCCGCTTTTGGGGGATCAGCCCTGCTTCGGCCTGACACTCTTCATCCACCGCTTTTGGGGGAAGCCGCGGAAGGACTCTGTTTCAGCTTTTTCCAAACACCAGACTCCTGACCTGTCGAGAGATTGACAGACCCCAAACGCCGACAGAATCGGCCTTCACGGCCATCGCGGCCGGGACGTTCACCGACCCCTCTCGCGCCCGGGACATCGACCCGCCGCGGTCGTCGACACCGGCCGCGCCTTCCAGTTCTCGTGGCCCTTCTGTGTCTTCTGCCAGTTCACCCCAAGGGCCCTCATGGTCCGGGCCCGCAAGTCCTTCGCCACCTTGAGGTCGTCGGACGTCCGGACCGAGGGCGTCTGGGGGGAGGGCGAACAGAGTGACAAGGAAACACATGCAGAGCTGGACTGGAGCTAACCATTGAATCATCCCCCCCCTCCGAATGCTTCAAAGATCTCCGAGTGGGCACAAGGTCGACGCCCTGATCGCCCTGATGTGTTCGGCTCGAAGATGTCTTCTATCTGCACCGGACCTTACAAACTCACAAAACATCGCCCCGACCTTCTGCATAGCTTTGATCCATGCTTCTCAAGGACTTTGCAGGTCAGTCCGAATAAAACCCAAAAAGAAACACCGTTCTTCTCGAATCAACTCCTAGAGCCGATTAGCGTGGGAGTACCGTCTGGTGCCCACTCCACGGTTTTGCTCTTAACTCAATCAAAGCCCAACCATCTGGAGGGTCACGAAATCTCATCTCCAAGATCTCATCCATTGCACAACCCAGTCCCGGGGCTGTCTGGAGTCTGAGGAAAAGAAAGCATTCATCCGGAAGCTTTCCGATTTGGAAGACTAGGGCGACTTCACCATCTCCTCAGGTTCGGTGGTTAGACCCCAAGAGCACCCACCGCAGTCCCACCGAACCGAAACGGAGGTGGGCTGATGGAGTGCAGATACCACACCCGGGTGCGAAGGACCGCCCCAAACACCACCGAACCTCCGTGCCGCCCCCCGGTCGCGGACGGACGAAGTCGCGTCCACCTCCTGTGGTGTGATCACCAGCGTGACGACACAACTCTCCTGGTAAGGCGAAGAACGAAGGACATCCCTGATGAATTCAGCCTGAAGGTTCACGACACGACGAATCCAGACCCGGAATGTTCAGCCTCCAGAAGTCCGGTGCCTGGCTGTGTCCATCTGTGTGGATGGACAAAAGTCCCGAGGCACCAGTCTAACCAGTTCTTCGGTTTTAACCTGTCCAAAGGGACTTTCTGGGACTCTTCGGCTTACCACCCCAAAATCTGGATGCAACCTCCAAAACGATGCCACATACAGCTACCCCCAGTATTATACATGTTCTCTTTTGCTCCCACGGCCACCGCGCCCCGGGAACGCCCAGCGAGCTCGGGACCGGGCACCCACGGCTCCTCACCGCCATCGGTTTGGGCGTCGAAGTGCGCGCCACCGGTGGCCTCGAAGAGGATCAAGCGGAAATCCTCGAGCGTTCTGGAGAGAAGGGCATAGGTGAAAAGGATCCGTGTCGGACCGAAAAAGGTCAAGAGAGTCAATTGAAAAACCTATGATGAAGAGATATGGTGATATGGTCTCTCTTGATTCCTGATGGTTTTTTCTGGGATTCTGAAGGCGGGGCAGGTCTTTTTGTTGCAGTCCTCAACAGTGGGTTGGGAAGAGCTGAGAATGACGGCGGCCAGCTTTCTTCAGGGTACATCGGTACATCTGCAGGTAATTACGTCCGTGGGAACATCTGTGTACACCCACAAGTGACACACATGAAATGCTGCAAAACCTTAAACCAGGCGCGAACTGCGAAGCCATCCGCGAAAATAGAAAAGTTTTAGGGTCTCAAGCTATAGTCTATTCTAAGGGTGTTTTTTGTCTCCAGCTATATATAAAGTCCAGTCTTAGGGTCTTTAGGCTTCTTAGGGTCTTATACTAGAAGTCCCTTAGGGTCGAGGCTTTATACCCAGCAAGTCCCAGCCTTTGTTTTTGCCGCGTCTCATTCGGGGAACGGGCGAGCAGGGTTTTGACGTGCTAAAAACGGCCATGGCCGTGGTTTTTGTTGTGAACATATTATAGAAGTATAGTGGGCGTGGGTCCCCTGAAAAGTGCTGGATCCTCAGAGAATCAACATGATCATTTAATGATTCGTAGGTAATTTGAGTCAGAAATGTGACAGATGCCCACCTTGCGCGTCTCAACTATACACATGTTCTAAGCACCGTGTGCTCTGGACTCCTATATGAACAGCGACATTTATTTGTTACTAAACTCAAATACACTATCTATTGTGTGGGGGCCCTATCTCGTTTAGACTGCTTTAGTAGGAGATCCTGTTACAGTATCTCCTTCAGACGAACGCAGCATGCCCGTTCGACTACTTGAGTCAGGAGCCAAATAAAAACCAGTCTTTGTTCGTTCATTCGCCGCTGATCCATCCTGGGATGAGGACGTCCACTTCAAGACAGGGGAGGAGCCAACTGTTGACCACACCACAGTCAAAGGAATCTGTTGGATGCCAAGCTCGGGTGTCGATTCGACTCCCTACCAGTACGATGGTGGTGACTGTAGCTGGTCCCCCCCCCAACCCTCCAGTGACGGGCCCCCCGTCCAGCTTGTGGTTGTAGCCTGAGAGAGTGCTGGTCCAGCGAGCATCACACATCCGAGATGTAAGCAGCAATGGCCAAATATAGTGGTGCCCAAATAGATAGAAATGGTGTCCAATACATTTTTAGTGGGGATCTACTTTTCTATCTATTTGGGGGTCTATATAGATCATATTGATCTGGAGAGGGACCAGAAGCGCAGATTCCGGTTTCCCTAAAGCGACTATAGGATGACCGGGGTGTACTGTGCAATCTATAGTGATGTATATTGGTGTTTTGTGACTAAGGTGGACTTCCTGAAACTAGGAAGCACAATGCTGCTGAATCTACAATTTCTCAATCAGAGGCCAGTTGTTCAGAGCCTCTGCACTCCGGAGTAGTTTGCCCAGGGAGTACGCCATAATGAGCATGTGTGAGATTGTCTGAGAAGCTGCGTTGACCAGGGGGGGGTATGAACTGAAATCATCCCTCGGACTCGACCTCTCCAAAAAGCCATACATCTTGCCAAAGGGCACCATGCGCCCTTCGAGGCAGGAGACCCAAACCCGGATGTTTTTTCAGATGTTTTCCATAGACCAACACCTGCTCTTTCAGAGACTCTCATGGAATGTGCCCTAAAACGTCAAAAAGCGATGTGTTCTCTGACCGAGGGGTCTCTCGTCACCGAGGGTATGAGAACTATAATAATCATGACTTGAACAGCTGCAACCCAGACAGCTTGATGCGTTCCACGCCTTGATGATGATTTGTCCCCTCTGGCACAGTGGCTCGTCAACAGAACACATTGAAACATTGAAACATATCCACAGATATTCACACACCCTCTGTATGAAATACCTACGTCATCCAAAACAAGGCCCTGTATTATTGAACAATATTGAACAGCTTCCACTTCTGTGCTGAACTCCACCTTTATTGTGTCCATGCTTGGTTTTGAAGCCAGTCATGAGGCAAAATGAGGCAAACTTCTCCCCGCTGGGCTTGCCCCCGGGGAACCGCCAGTCTCACAGAACATGTCGGAGCTCCTTTCGTCATAGTCCTTTCGTCCCGAAATCTCTTTGTGTTTGGAAGAGAAATCTCCGCCCCAGACTGTCAGCACCAGGCACCAGAAAAGCACTAGCAGCATCCGCAGCAGAAGTGGTCGCTTTGTTCTCCACGGGCTCCCATGTTGTTCTGTGGACCTCTTGTAAAACGAAAACTCGGACTTCTGCCAGGTCACTACAGGACTCCAAGATGGAGATCACCAGTTCCTGCAACAGCGATCGGAGCCAAGACTTGGTGAAGACTCCAAGACTCTCTATGTAGTGCTCTACCCCTCGTTTGAAACATTTTTGCCCAAATTTTCACACAGCTGCTTTGGGTAATGGAATCAACTGATAACTGCAACAGTGGATTCCACGGCTTTTCGTGACTGCGAAGTGACCTGCGTTGGTTGACAATGGCGAGGTCTCAAACAGATCTCCATCCCTTCTAAAAATTCACATCAAAACTATATGTAGCAATATGTAGCAG